AAAAAAAATTAATCGCGATTCCCTGCTGTTAAAAATTAATCAGATCGGATTGAATTGTCGATAATTTTTCTCCATTTACGATTTAAGGATTATTATTATCGAGAATTATTAACGAGTGATATCTTCGATTATATATATATTATAGATATTTGCCGGTCTAATTACACTGGTATACGCTTCTTACGAAGAGGATCATGGCAGCTCGACATACCACGAAATATCCAAGCCCGTGGAAATTCCTGTTTACAAAAAATACGCCATACCTATTCCACATCCAGTTCCAGTCCCCATTCCTCAGCAAATTAAGGTACCCATTCCACAACCGTATCAAGTCGAGGTACCAGTACCGCATCCAGTGCCGATAGAAGTCGTGAAACACGTCGAAATTCCAGTGGAGAAGCCTGAGCCTTATGTGGTGGAGAAGAAGGTACGGTCGAACGAATGAAATTTTTCCATTTTAAAATTTTTAACACTGCTAGATATTAAAAAAAAGAAAAAGAAAAAATTATTAAACGTCAGTTTGAAAAAAAATCACGCGAATCTTTCCCTTCTAATTTTTGATTTATTGTTTTCAATGAAAAGAACAAACGAAAAACTACATATAAACGATAAAGAATCGGTCGGTGAATATTGAAAACGGAAATTGAATTATCGATAATACGACGAAATTTGATAATATCACGTATATATATATATAATATAATTAATTCCCCATCTAATTTAGCGTTAAATTACTTTCACTTTGATGCTATGTAGTATATAAATACTAAAATTTGAACGATAACGGACATTGATGTCGTACAGGTACCGTACGTTGTCGAGAAGCCATATCCGGTGACGGTGGAAAAGCACTTTCCGGTGCCCATCCCGAAACCGTATCCAGTTCACGTACCTGTCTACAAACACGTGTTCCATCACCAAAGTAAAGGAGGTTGGAAGCACTGATTTTTGTATCCATTCTTCCAAAGCAACCGAACGACTAGCCAAATATAACTGACAGAAACTTTCCAGTTTCTCGGCATTATGACACTTGTACATAGCCCGTTCTTGTTATATAGTCAATCTATTGTTACGTTGTTTTCGAAATAAATTGTTTTTGTTTTTATATGTAATATATTTTATATATATATTGGTATATCGTTTCCTTCCCGAGATTTATCATCCAACGTTAAATGAACGGAAGCAATGCAATGTTCATCTTTTTCTTCCATCACGGAAGATCTCTTAATCGGCTCGATAGAGACGTAAAAATTTTGTCTGATCCCGATGAAATAATCCAAAACTACATCTTTCTTGATCGATTAATTGTTCTCAATCAATTAACACGCGATAATTACACAATTTTCCATCGTGTTTAAAATACACTCACAAAAATTAAAAGAATAAAGACACTTTTTTTTTCATTAGAATCTTCTTCTCCGAAATTTTAATCTTTTTCTTACACGGAGAAAGTGAAAATTGGCCATTTTTAACGATTTCTATTCCTGTTCCACTTTTGTACCGATCAAAAATCCCTTTCGATGTTCATTAAAGATCGATCATCATCGATCTATCCGATTATACGTGTAACACCGTTCGTAATAGCAGATAAATCGTGGTGGCACGATTCAGTGGCGATCGGATTAAAAATCGGTAAGAGAGACACGTATAAATTGATTTAAGAAAATAATTTCAACCGTTTTACCTTTTTCTTTTTTTTTTTTTCGAATTTCCGTAGGCGACACCCGGGGCGATCCAATCACCGTCGCCTCCTTCGGTTTTGTCCATGGACACAGAGGCCGGCCAATGGAGCCGATAGGATAGCCGGTGCGGTAAATGACGAACGCGCGTGTCCAAGTACGACGACATAACAGGGCTGGCCGCCCGAGGTGCAGAATTTATTCAGGAAATACCGACCGCTTGCATCATAGGCTTGACCGACGACCGCTTTTTACTCCGCTTAAGGGTATCGCATTCGACTCGGGCGGGCAAGAAACGTGCCCTGTTTAAGTGGTAGCAAAAGTTTATAAGACCGGGGGACACGCACGACGCGCTTTTAGTTTCGCCCGGGACATTAGAGCCGACATTAGTTCGCCACGGAACATCCGTCCAACGCAAGGATCCGAAATCATGTTCAGATTACTGGTGAGTTCGGGCGAGGGATGAGAATGGTCGAAAATTTGATTCGAAAATAAGAGATTATTGAATTTTTCCCTACATCACGTAGGGGAAACGCGATATTCTGAAAGGAAACACTCGCGGAATTTGAAATATGATAAAATAAAAATTCAAGAATCATAGTTCTGTTTAATTTAAGTTTTCAAAATATTGAAATTTCATAAAATTCTTGAAATTCTGCTCGAGAAGAAAGAGAAATCTGGTCCCTCTCGAGATATCGGAGATTCCTGACATTTTCGAATTCTCATCCGGTTCGATTTTTACTCGATCAATTTTATTTACCACCGATACACTTACCATCGCCGTCGAGCTTTTTCCTCGTCGAGTCGCCAGTCTAAATTCTCTCTCTGTGTATTTGTCCGTCTCTCTAGATCCCGTGCCTGATATGGCTGTCGAGCGTTCGCTCGGAGACGGGTGTGAGCATGCACATGCCGGAGGGCATGATGGAGGACAAGGCGGCGATGAAAAGGGAGTCGTACTATAACCCGTGCCCTCCCGTGCCGTACACTCACCCCATCTCGTACTCGCCGCCACCGCAGATATACGTGAAACCGTACGTGCAGCCTGCTCCGTTACAATACATCCCGAAACCGAGCATCACCTACGTGAAACCGTCACCACCCCCCGTGATCGTGCCGCCCGTCGTCAAAGCAGCCCCGGTAATCGTGAAACCGATCGCCCAGCCGAAAGTGGTTTACCCGATCTACCAGAAACCCATGATATCGTACGCGCCGATCTATCAGAAGCCCGTCTACTACGCGCCCACGTACCAGAAGCTCATGTACCAGGCGCCCAAGGTTTACTTGAAGAAGTACGAACTACCGGCGATCACCCAAGTGATCACCCAGAAACCGCACATCTCCTATCCGATCCAGTATCACGAGCCGAAGGTGGTTCAAGTGCCCGCACCCCAGATCAATTACGTGAAGCTCGCCCAACCGATCGTCCATTCCCCGCCCGTCTACCAGTCGGCCGTAAAACCGTACTGCCCCTAAGGGTAACCTTGGATACTTGTCGAGGATGCAAATGTGAACGCTGCTGAGTCGCAACGATCGAGCGTTTTTCGATCGTTTTTTTTATTTTTACTTTTTTAAATTTTTATCATAAGTGTCTCGAGAAAAGGAAGGGGAAGGAACGGAACAAGTTTCCCCTCCCCCCTCGAGTCGAGAACTTCTCGAAACTGAAACGTCGAAGCGGCTGCCTTGAGCCGTGACGCCACGACGTAGTATTCGTAGTCAAGCGATAATTTAGCGAAACCACGCCACGCAAATTATACAATAAAGAAACGAAGGAACTGTCAATCTAGCTGTTCAATGTATCCACTCACCCTTGTATCCGTACGCCCTCCCAACTTTTCCTCCTTGTTCACAGTCGATTCCGCAATCGCTGCCGTTTCTTCGGGGATTCTCCAGTGGCTCTCGTCGCGACAACGAGCGGATTGAAACTCCGTTAAAAAGCTTATACCATTTTCGACCGTTACGAAGGCCAAGTTTCGATGATTCTTCGCCCCAGAACTTTTCCCTCGAACCTTTGCACTTTTTTTCTTCTCTCTCTCTCTCTCTGCAACACGAGGATTACGAGTCGATCGAGAATACAACGAGATTGCCTCTCTCTCGAGATCTTAATCCGACCCGAGTGGAAACTCATTTTCCGATGAAAACTTTCCCCCGATATTATTATTCCTGGCAAACCGAAATGGCGTTATCGTTGATCCCGTGTGTACAGTGGTTCTCAGCCACTCCATCGATTTCGAGATGCCGCTTTTCCAATCTCGAGAACCAAACTTTGCTCGCGAGCAATCTCGCTTTTTCTGCTTCTATTTCATCATCGATGTTAAAGGTTAAATAGAGAAGAGAGAGAGAGAGAGAGAGAGATACTTTTGAAATTATCACCTTTTTCCGTACATGTTTCCAATTACGTGAACGTGCAAAGTTACGCCATGACATCAAGGTGATCCACTCAAGACATATCGTTCTAAGTTGGTAGAGCGTTAGTATTACAAGAAATGAAATTGATCGGCGATTAACTTTTGATTCGATGTAATGTACTCCGAACAATAAAAGTTACTAGATTTAAAATTGCAAAGAAAGGAAAGAAAAAAAATGAGATACCTGTGCATGTGCCAGGAAAGCTGGGAACCTGACTGGCAACGAATTTCCAGCATATCTTCGCCTTCTATCAGCCGACTAGGATTGCGCCAGTTCGGTGGCCAAGACTATGTAAGGAATTAATTACGAGCCGAGTCTTGCTTTCGATTATTTCGAGGAATCGCTTGTTTCCTCACCCATTCGCCGCAATGGGCAATCGTATTACGCAAGTCGCGGCAATGAAACGTATAGTTTCGCGGTAACTAATGGATACGTGGGTGTAATCTTTTCGTTCTCTTGTCAACATAGAAATCGTTTTCGAAATTCTTCGCCAATGTCGTGTATAAAACGTGTATGCTCGCGCGGAGATCCTCTAGTGGAGTCTTTGAATATTTCTCCTTAGTGGACATTTTTTAGAGGCATTCGCTATGAAATACTGTCTGTTGGTGAGTGATTCGTATTAAGGAAATTAAGTTTTGTATCAAGTCGTGCAGTGTGAAATACTATCTTTCTCTCGAGCGAGGATTTATCGTAAAATTTGGTTGCAGTTGTGTCTTGCGATGATTGTCGTTTGCCAAGCAAGGAGAATACCAAGAATACCTCAACATCCGTATTTTCCTAATTTCCAACACGTTTATCAGCCGCGCAATTATCCAAACGAGCTGGTGGACCAGCATATCGGCGCGCCTTTCTTCGGCAATTACAGAACGCAAGAAGAGAACACGGGCAGACAAGGAGGGAACACGGGGAGAGAAGAAGGGGTGGGACAGGATTATTACGATCATCGAATTCCGATCGACAGCCAGGCGAATTTCGTTCATCCATTCGCGGGAGGTAACGAGTAAAAGTTGGTAACTATTTGTGAAACAACACAGTAAACTTTTCCTCGTTTTCAGTCCCGTTCGACGATATCCCTGTGAACAATCCTGCGGACTTCAGAGGCCGAGACGTGAACGCACCCCATCAATACGAACGATTCAACCATGCCCTCAATTATAATCACCCTCAATTGTAACGATGAGTGATGAATCCTGTCTTTAATTTTATGAATTTTAAACGAATACAGAATTGAATCGCAATCGACTGATCATAGTAGGGCTAGCAATCTCTCTTTATTTCTCCTCTTTTCTTTACTCCTTTATAATTCAATATATATATAATATATATTGAACGTTATATCGTTATAATATAAGTTAATATAATAATTTGTGTAAATAACGTTATTAAGAAAGAAAACAACGACGTGATAATGATTAACGCTAGCCTCCCCTTCCTGTTTAAATCTCATTTACACTTTGTATTTACAATGCTTTGTTTTGGCTCGCGGTATTTTTTTCCTTTTTTTTTTTTCTTTTTTCCTCTTTTTTTTACGACTTTGGACCATTCGGTGCGAGGGTACCATTTCGAGGCGGGAGAAAAAAGAACGAATCCTCGAAACGAGTACCTTCTCGATCTGTAGATCGTGGAACGATTTCTAAGGCTCTAATAACGACCGGTATTTGCGCTATAATTGGCTTCCCATAATTCACTCTGTCCGGCCGTAAAAAAAAAAAAAAAAAAAAAAAAAAAAAAA